AGATAAACTAATGAGCCTCTTCATCAAGCGCCTTCACACGAAATAAGTCAGCCCATCAATTTCATGTTAGGACAGCCATCGAAACCAAGTTGCTCTATTTATCCACAAGGTTATCACTTTTGGAGAGCTGTCTGAGGGCTCTAAGCTGACGGAGGGCTTGAGCAAAGCCGGGCTCAAGGAAACATAACTAAAGCTATTAGCCATGCATTTTGGGCAAATGAATAAGTCCCTACGAGAAGCCGTATAGCAGGATTTCAAAGAGGAGTTTATAGTGTTCTACAATATACATCGCGTCATAGTTTGCGCCTAATTTACATCCTCCATACTTTCATTTCTCAGCCAGCCACGAGAGGAAGAGTTGACATCCGCCACAATAGATGGTTTATATGCATTATTGCATGCTAAATCTCATCAGCCAAAATGGAAAAAAGGATGCTGCTTTAAATTTCGTATCGTCTGGTACGGATTAGAAAATTGCCCTTATAGGATGCCCTGCGCCTCCGCAGGGTGTTGCGCTCAGGACATACGCGGACATATCCAGCCACACTACCTTCGTCAAGTGAAACGTTAGGTACGCAAGCATCAGGCTATTATGGGATTATTCAAAAGCAAGCTTTTCTTAATATTCACCAAAATAGAATGGACTTAAACGAACGTTTAGGAGAAAACGCGAGCTAGAAGCATTGGAATGAGTGAAGCCAGGCCACTTTGAGAAACTTGGAGCCCATGTTAGTAATCAAGGAGAGATGCCCTTCAATGAGGGAAAAGGCATCATAAAAGATGAAATCGAATCGGTAAAGAGCTTAAGTTGAAAGGATTGAGGGACAAACGAATAAATGAATAGAATAAGCAGATCGAAATGGGTAAACAGTGCACACCGATATACAAGTAGAGGCTCAATTTGCCCCATTTTCAGCTGAAGTAGACAGAGGACTGCGAAAAGTCCCATACGCATTGGGCTTCTATCAATGAGACGTCCTTTTCGGCGTGTTTGGCAAATAGCCAAGTCCAACCGACGAAGAAGGCTCGCCCGAGAGGCTGCTTGAGGTAGAAGAGGTCCGCAGAAATAAATGAATTCTAGCAATGAAGTAAGGTCCAGGCCCGCCACTTCCTCAACACGTGACAAGCAATGTGCGCAGATGGCCTCGCAAAGAAGCCGAAGCTCAAAAGCAACTTGATTATGGCACTCGGATGCCTTAGATTCCGGTAGTGCCAAAGAAAGGGATACAACTGATTCTGCACCGGCAGGTTCATTTGATTCAACACATCTTTGATTGGGAAACCTTGCACTAAGGCGTCGGCACAGGCGAACGAGTTCAACCAATTCATAGGCGCTTGTCTCGTTGATCTACAGGTACTCAGTGAAAAAAACAAGCTGGGTGAATTGATAAAAAGAAAAACCTTTTTTAAATAAACATGTAATCAAAGCAAGACACATAAAAATCAAAATAAGACCTTACTGTAAAATGTGGAAGGAATAGATTTACTAAGCACATAACTCGAATAACGAAAAAAATAATCCGCATTAGTGAAATTCGGCAACAGTCTTTTGTCGAAAGCAATAATCAATTATTATAATAAATGCAAGAATCGCTACCTCATCTATCCAGATACTTCAGAAATGGCCTAGTCAGAATAAACTAAATCTTACTTCCCTCATCACATGGCAATGCGATGTAGTAGACAGTTTTAGCTCCACAATCGTTACAAATTATCTAACGTTAACAGATGATTGAAAACCATACTCATTTTGATTCTCAAGCCAGATCAACTGATCTATGGATATGGCTAGCTAGATCTAATCTGACAGTCTCATAAGGAAATCAGGTTGTTATGATCGCCTCATGTAGATGGACATATCAAGCATGACTAAAGAGGACCATTAACCGATAGCAAAAATACCACAAACAACATCGTATCTGGCTTTGCATATTGGCAATGTCATAGCAATAACGCATGAAAATCACTAAATAAAGCTGGCAACTTGAGGCTCAACAGGCTTCTATGGCAGTAAAAGGCCTTTCAACAAGTGAATATTAAAAATATGATAAGTTGTTTCTAGAAGATGTAATGGCCAGCCAGTACGTTCGTAAATCCCTCTTAACGAAACAGTAACCTCTTCACCAGTCCCAAGAATATACAATAAATATCAAGAACAAGAATAACATTCGGGAAATATGTAAAAAGGAACGTATAGATGACCAGCATCCTCTGTAAGCATAAATATACGCATAAATTTATTAAGTCAAGCTGACTTAATTGTGCCAAATCTTGTGCAATTATCGATTCAAGCAAAACATAACGTTAGTAAGAAGTTGTTTGATCTTGTTTTCGCAAATTGGTTATATTAGTAAGAAGATTTAGAGGAATGCACCATATCCGGAGTTAATT